CTGTTTCCGAAATTGCGTGAGTATTCTCAAATTGTTTGCGAATGTACTCATCCGTATCTATTCTTCTCGTATAATTTTCACCATGTTTAATACTTAAGTATGACGCAAGTATCATCTTTCCTCCATCCTCTATCTCAATATTGACCGATTGAACCATTGACCGGAAGCTATAGGTCATTTTGGTTGCTAATCCATAGTTTTCTTCATTCTGAAGGAGAAAATCTGAGGAAGTATGAACATCTGGTATTTGAAGAAAAATATCAGCGCTTCCAAACTCGCTCAAGGAGTTAATCTCTGTATATCGAACTTGTGCAGTTAGCAAATTTGTCATTCCACTTAAGAAAACGGTCGATATGATTATGGCTGAGAAACTGAACATGGTGAAGAGGACCTTCCCTGTGTACAAACGGCCCCAGAGTACCCTCGGTGGACTCCCACAAATAAAGTACGCGTAGAGAGTCAAGATCGGCGATGTTTCTTCGTAAGTCCTGATTTCCGTCTCCGAGTAGAGTTGCTGGAAAATTTCTCGCTGTGAAAATTGGAAAACGTACTGCAATTGGACGAAGAGAGCGCTTGTGATGAGAACTAACAACCACACCACTGGAGAAAAAGCCTTGAAAATTACCAAGGATTGCGGCACAAGCTGGCTGTGCGGAGTTGCAATGCACAAAGCGGCAGTCTCAACTGCGACGGAGAAGTCAAATCTCGACCGATCGATCTCTTTGAAGAGTTTCCCGAAATTCATCACGTGCAATCCTACGCCAAATTTTTGACCGATATCCAATTCATCATCATCGAGTAACAGGTAACGGTTGGAAATATTTTTGTAACTTGCCATTCCGACATCCCGGGATTCTAGTGTGCAGTTCGTTGATATTTCAAATTGTTCCATAACGTCCATCAGAATATCCTGCGCGTAAGCCCAGATTTTTTCATCTTCAATCCCACTTAGTCCTCCGATGAAATCGAACAGGAAGATAACTGACTTCTGTTGCATGTCATTCCAAGAAAAGTCGAAGTAAGTTTCGTTGTCCTCGCCGGTGAACCGACTTATAACCTCCGTGAATGGGTTGTATTTTTCACAAAATTTTGGATTGCAGATAACGGTTCTTAAACCTTTGAAGAAGCGCCAAAATAATTTGAAGTAAAGCAAGTAGGGTCCTGATGTATCGTTTCCTAGTCTTTGAATTTTTGTGTTCTGTAATTTGCTGACATTTTGGGGGCTCTCTGAGGGTATAGCATCGGATATACACCCAAAATTGTCTTCGTGTGAATTGTAAATAAGAAAAATTAGGTTGTTTTTTGAGTTCCAAGTGTTGTGGCCGTACAAACCACGAGTCAAGTCAAAAATTGAGTCTGATAAAATTGAGGCATCTTGAAGGTCATCAGCCGTCAAATTGATCGTCTCATCGCAAAGTCCGGTGGCTTCTTTCTGCATTAAAATTCCATCAACGCGAATGCAGTAACGAGGTGAACTACTAAAAAAGTGGTAATTTTTATCTCTTTTCTTGGTAGGATTAACTGAAATGTTTGATACTTTTTCCGTCATTAGGTTTGGTTGATAATACTCGGAATTATTCTTGGCGGAACCGAAATTTAAGATCAGATCCAATAATTCATCGAGGTTGTTTAAGAAAAAGATAAAATTTGAGCTGTGGCTTGTGAATTCTAAGTTAGTTAATTGTCTTGGGTCTTCCACCAAAACGGTCTGAATGGATGAGTAGTGTAAACGTTTAATTAAATTAGGCACCGTTGGACTAAAATTAAAATCTGCAACGTAAAACATTGTGCTTTTCGATTGAAGAACTGTGTTTTTACATACATTGTATGCAAGTGAAGTGAGAGAATCCTGATTCAAATTAATGGGTTGTTCACCTGCATCTACCAAAATCCTTGCGAAAGCGTCATTGGTAAAGAAAAGAAGGAGAGAAAATATATTATTTCTGCGCGGCATGATTAAATTTTTGATCAAAATTTTTACGATTGTAAACGTTGTATTGCTATCGTACAGAAATACCGCACTTTCAATAATTTTTTAATTTTATTATTGAATTTTTTTTAATAAAATTAAATTTTATTAATACAATTTTTATTAATAAAAGTGAAAACTATTGCCCTAAGGGTGCATTGGAATGTTACCATCAATTTTGTTGAATCATAAAATAATCGCTCCTTACCAATTAGAGACCGACTACCCCTTTACATCCGAGAATTGTATCAACACAGCAACAAACTCCAGCCAGCAACAACACACAAACTCAGCACAGAAAGAGCATATAAAGTGTAGATATCAGCGTTGGCACGGTTCTTTGGTTTGAAGGAAAGAATGAGGAAGGAAAATACCTGCTCATTTATGCTCCTTCAGACTTTAACCCAAATACAGAATGAGTATATGTCCTCTTCTACGATGATAGAGGGGTGATAGAAATGAGGTCATATATATTTTTCACGCGAAGAAACTCGTATGTCGGTTCGTTTTTTTATCGTCATTGTATAAAGTTTTACGAAGCAGTCCGAAAAAACGGTAACAGGAGAAAAACAAGGGGAATAACGGGGAACAAGGCTAAAATACAGCAATAAAAAACCCGAGATGGTTCGACTCAAAACTAAGTCTTTTTACAGTCGGAAAATAAATTGAAATTAAAAATTAAAAAATATAGAGGAAAAAACCTGCGACCTCCAATTAAGTTGGTGGCAGAGATCCGAAAGAATTCTCGGATTTCTCCAGTTTTTCTCTGAGTCATTTTCAGTCGAAAAATACATTAAAAATTAAAAAACAATGAAAAAACCTGAGACCTACAAGTTGGTGGCCGAGATCCGAAAAAAAGCTCGGATTTTTCCGGAATCTTTTTTTCTCGGATCTCGGCCACTAACTTGTAGATCTCAGGTTTTTTCATGAATATCTTTTAATTTTTAATTTATTTTTCGTCTGAAAATGACTCATATTTGAGTCGAAATGTCTCGGGTGTTGGTGTTGTACTTTAGCCTTGTTTCCCGTTTTTCCCCTGTTCGTTTATTTATCTTTGGAGGCAAAGTATTCTGCGGGCTTTTATGAAGTTTCATTTCCTGAGGGAGTGACAGGAAAGAAAAACAAGTCGACAAAAGAAGATTCGCAAGCTTGTTTTGAACAATTATTCCTCCTGCTACGACTGCTCGTAAAAGTGCCTGCCATGAAAGTTGAATGGAGATAAAAAGCGTGAAACACTTCATAAAGCTGCACGTGCACGTTTGGTTGCGTGCTCGGCTACTGAAGGCGCTTCGTCGGCGCGTTGAAGGAATCGAATTAATTTTAATGGCTATCCATAAAAGAGTAGAATGCGGCGCATTCTTTGACGGCACGCCGAAGTGTAGCATCCTACCTTCTTACTCGAAGGCGAACTTCGCAAGAGACTGTATGCAGATAGGTGGTTTTTCCTTGTGAATTGCACGCTAGAATAGCACATTGAATCAGACTCGGATTTACAATTGTGTCTTATCTCTACCAATACACGTTGTCGAGTTTTCTGGATTTCAACTTAAATGAAGAAGTTGGATCTTTGAATGGCAGACGGTCTCGTAATTGGACGTATTTCTATCAAACGGAACTATATGCATTGTGACGTGAGCCCTGTTATACGTGTATTCTTATGGGTCTCAGAGGTCATGTCTTTATGCACATAGTTCCGTTTGGTAGAAATACGTCCAATTTGTCTATGAAGTCGCTACAAACTACGAGCGCCGTCTCCATCCCGTTCGAATATTGTGGCAATTCTGGCTTGCTATAGGAGGACGCCGTATGAGCATTCAGGCGTTGCCACATTTCCCTCAATAAATACCGAATTTCCTAAGAAAATTCTAAATATTCTTCCTCCAATTTTTCACACAATTTTGTTCGCAATGTAATCTAAAATATCTGAAAATTTCAAGGAATAATATGAACAATTTTTTTCAAAAATACACGTTTTATTCGGAGATATTTGGCAACTCTCGAATTTTCATACGGCATTTTTACTTAGCACGGCAGAATTCAACTGTTAGATATCTGGAACAAGACCAAACACCTCAAAAGGGTTCAACCGTGGGAACTAGCCGGCCCCCAGGTCTGGCCCAATAGCCATATTCTTACTTGTATATTTATATATTCCTCATGTATATAAGCCTAAATAAATTATAAGTTTCTGGGTAGCTTGTATTATCCGCTCTATTTAATGTTTAATCACAATGTGTGCAATTCTCATGTAAAGAAATCACAATGAAATAATAGAGAAAATAGGAAGAAAAATGAAGGTGCTATGCATGTCTTAACGCATAGATGACATTCAAATCAGGGTGGCAAATATTTCCTGAAAGTTTGAATCATGAAATTCCCTTTGAAATATTTCCGGAAACAGAAATTTGAGAAATATAAGAAATGTGTTATTAGAATTAAGTGCCAGAGATCAGACTCCTTGCATTTGATTGCAGGTTTCATACCTAGGCCGTGAAAAATACGTCTAAAACACTGTCATGAGTTCCACAGGTCCGCGTAAAATTTTCGGAAATAATTTCAGGGATATTCCCAATGCCTTATGTCTTTCTCACGTTTCATGCCACCTTGATCCAGAAGAAAATATAAAAAGTTAAAAGAAAAAGAAAATAATTTAAGGACGGTTGGAGCGTCGAGGAGTGTGATGAGTTGATAACAACAGAAAAACAATCATTTCCCTCATCCTCGCTCTTGCTCATTTCGGTATCATTTTCAGAGCATCACTTTCAGTGTCGATCTCGCAAGTACTTGTTTTGATCTGGACGTGCCCCTACAGGCAAATGTCCAGCAATCCTCATTTTGCTTCTTACAACTTCCATTATACCCATTAGTATAGATGACCCCCAAACATTAAAGGAAGTTCAACGCATATAACTCCGTTTTCTACGCATCGCCGAGCTGCCAAAGGAAATGATCCGGCAAACAGAGAATAAATAAAGCTCAAAACAATGTCAAATTGATGTAACAGCTTATTCGTGGTCTAGGACGCTTGCGCTTGCCGCGTGTCAGATCGTATTTGATAAGCTCAAACCGTAGTCCCGTTTTGACTGAAGTGTCAACTTCTTCTTCTCACATTGTATACGTGCATGATAGTATGATTTCATCGGTGTGCTATACTGAGTTGATTCTTGTATCAATCGTTGCATTAGTAAGTATAAATAGTCATAGATTGTGCTGAATAAAAAATGAAAATGTAAAAATACGTGAGGAGTAAGAATACGAGTATGCTAAAACAATAGTTTAAGCAGCAATTCTGAAAGCAGTTAAAAGTTACCTAGTAAAAAAACAATAAATTAGGTTATGTTCCCTTCGTTTCTTTTCTATTTTCCGACTTTCCGGAATAAGAAATTTATCACCGCACGATACTTATAGATTCTGATGTCAAGACCATGAAAATTTTACGATGAAATAGAGTCATTACGATGACCAAAATCGAAAAATAAGTAAATACTTCCAATTGTGACTTTTCAAGTCTACGCCCATACTTTATTTTCAAAAGGGAACTAACCAACAGTTTTTCTTGACATTTTCTGTGAAATACCTTTACTTATTCAAACATATTTACGGGGGATTTGGATGGGATATTTTGGTTAGTATTAATGATGGGATATTTTGAAGAGTTGCAATTGAGGTGCATATTTTATGACTTGAAGCATCTACTTCAGGTCTGAAAAATTCGGGGGATACTAGCAAAAATGTGTGCGACTGGACAATCCATGTGGAAAAGATACATGCAGGGACCGCCTTAGAGATGGCCGCGGAGTCGGCGCTTTTCTCTTGAAAATAATTCGTCGTTTTACCGACGAAGAAACGTACCTCCATTGCAAGGTTGCCAAACTGACGTAAACGATTCAATTTTTCACAAGAATGTACCTGTGTAATTTTCGTTCAAAATGTCTCTGATTTTTGCTTAAGAGGAGGCAGTAAAAAAAAAAAAAAAAAAAAAAATCAGGTAAAATCAGAAAAAAAAAAAATCAGTAAAAATTCCAGTTGGTAATGCCCAAGATTCCCCTGTTAAAACTGCAATTTGCGAGGGTAAATTTGGCAACATTGAAATGTAGTTACGTTCTTTTGCGAGCGGGAGGAAACGACAAATTGTATATGTTTACTGCTGTTATATATGTTATACATGTTATTTATGTTGTATTATGTTGTATTTATGTTATATTAGACATGTTGTGTATATATGTTATTTGCTTGACGGTATTTTTATATTTGTACCCAGATTAGCAGAAAGGAACCAAACCTCATCAGCTATCATCAAATTTAACTGGGAATTTTTAGTTTTGTTTTTACAAGAGACCGTTAGTACGGATTCCTTTGAAAATTTTAAGGAATTCGCGCTATGATGAAAAATCACTGAAATTTGCATACAAATCCGCTCTACCGTTTTTATGTAAATATTGTAACCACCCTATCAAATTTTACAATAACTGATGTGGCTCAGTTCCTTTCTGCGTAACGCAGTCCATTTATTATTTTTAAGGAATTCGTACTATGATGAAAAATCACTGAAATTTTCACAAAAATCCGCTCTACCGTTTTTATGTAAATATTGTAACTACCCTATCAAATTTTACAATAACTGATGTGGCTTAGTTCCTTTCTGCGTAACGCAGTCCATTTATTATTTTTAAGGAATTCGTACTATGATGAAAAATCACTGAAATTTGCACAAAAATCCGCTCTACCGTTTTTATTTAAATAATTTAACTTCTCTTTCAAATGTGGCAATATCTGATGTGGCTTGGTTCCTTTCTGCGTAACGCAGTCCATTTATTAGTGAATCCCATGTGCTTGGTACTTATGAGCTTGACAAACAGGGCTATGCCCTAATCGTAAAAAGACAAAGAAAAAAAATTCGAATGATGGTTTTTTTTTTTTTTTTTTATTCGTACAAAAGAACAATTAGTACAAAATAGGTGCTTACAGACAATTTAAATTGTCTTTTTAAGCTAATTTTAACTTTAAGTGATGACTTAATATTATACACATTTTAACTTTACATGACAAGAAAACAATTTGATTTTAACTATGTTAGGTAAGAATAAATACTACCTCTGCTATTGAGGAGAATGTAAGAACATAATTATTTTCGAAATAAGAATGTCTCGAATGATGGTGCAAATAAACTTATTAAGAAACCAAATTCTTTTCTTCTTGCAGTCATCGTCAACACCAACGAGTCAAACTTACGATGAGTTACTCGATGCATTCAAAGCTGTGGAAACCAATCGGAAGGCCGCTATAAAGGGGGCGCTAGAGGTAGCATCGGGCCGAAAAAACAACGTTACTCTTGAGCTCTTACATGGTATCGTGGCAGAGGCGGACTTGGTGCTCCAGAACATAAGGCGCTATTTCGACGCTGGTAAGGTCATGTTCGACTTGAATCAAGGAAAAGTAAACCTCGGAGATGCGGAAATAATTGCGGTAAGGGTGCCTTTCTGTCATTTGTTTTAAATCGGATGGCATATTAGCCATACCTCCATTGAGAGTTTTGAGAAAAGTTCAAAAAAGACCAATGTGCAATAATAATATTACAGATGATGACTAGGTTGGCCTGGTCGTACTAATGGAGAATGAAACATATGAACGTATAACTGAAAAAATTAAACACTAAAAAGTGGCCTAAAACTGTATGTAACAAGGTGGAGAAATGGTGCTGGGTCCACACCATTTCGCGGGGAAACAAAGCCAAGAAATACCAAAAATTAAAATTAGAGTCAAAAATAAATTTTTAGAACAAAGCAAATAGAGCAAGCATTAGAGTTCTAAAAATTTATTTTTGACTCTAATTTTAATTTTTGGTATTTCTTGGCTTTGTTTCCCCGCGAAATGGTGTGGACCCAGCACCATTTCTTCACCTTGTTGAACGTATAACGTATGAACATTCGGAGAGTTGCCAAATTTCCCTTGATAAAAGCTGCATTTTGGAGGAAAGTTATGCACATATTCCTTTGAAATTTTCATATATTTTGGATTAAATTGCGAACAAAATTGTCGGCACAAAAAAGCATCGGCCATGTTGAGCAGGGATTGAATGGAACGAAATGTTCCTAGAAATGTTCCTCTAACGAAATGTTCACCTATGCTAAAGTATCCTTTTTGAAACGGGAATCTGAAAAAAAACGCAGTTAGTGAAGTTAAAAGTGCATTTCAGAGTTTTCCGATACCCTCATCGTGATTTTTGAGACATTATCTACAAGGAACAACTTTTATTTTTGCTCCAGTAAAAGTTTGCAACAATGCAACATGTTCATTCAATACCAATGAGACTTTCGTTTCCTTTCTCCTCTAGAAAACTCAGCTCATGCGAGAGAAGCTTTACTTGCAGGATCAATTGCATAGGCTAGCCGCAACCTTCAAAACCTTAAAAGCTCAAATGAAGGATCTACCAATGGACTTGATGAGCATTCTGCAACCAGTAATTCGCAGCATCAAAGAGAGCGAAGATGCAATAGTTCCACTCGCGAGACAATTTCGAGTGTACCTGGATGAAGTCAAACCAACCCTAATAGTACCAGGACACAAGATGACTTCTTAAATATGTATCAATTGAAAAGTTGTTTCAAAGACAAGTTTAGAACACATTTTTATCGGGAAGATTTCAAATCGCATTTGAAATCCTTTAAAAATATATGTGGAGTGATGTAGTGTATCCATCGTTACGGATTCATTAACTGTTTCCACAATTTAAATGAGCCGATCAAAATAAAACAGCAATTAGACTGGTGGTCGGTGGAATAATGTCCAGCAATAACGCGTTGAGCAGAAAAGAACCAAGCCACATCAGATTACCAAATTAAACTGGAATATCTAATTTTTTACAAGAAAACGTTTGTGCGGATTTTTTTGAAAATTTCAATGAATTTGCTTAGTATGTATAATACAGAAAATTCACTAGATTGTCCACAAGAATTCGCACAGTCGTTTTTAAGTATAACATTAAATTCCCCAATTCTATTTGGTAATAGCTAGTGTGGCTTAGTTCCTTTCTGTTTAACGCGGTCCAATTAAGAGGAGCATCTATTTTTTATTAGAATATTAAAATACATTTACTCGTTAGTCTGTTCGTGATTGATGTAGATTAAAAAAAGTAGGCGTTTTTTAATTTTTATGTGCCTTACTCAACATTCGTATCGATGTCACCTTTCGATCGGCTCATTCTAATAGTGGAAACATTTATATTATCAATTTTACCGTTTTTAAACTCAGCGTCTCTGATCAAAAACACAGGAGGGAGTGGGAGCAGATTAGTCACAATTACAGCAGGTATTTTTTGTGTGCAAAAACCCCGCATAAAGTTTGAAATTCGTAAGTTTTAAATCACTTTTACCCTTCCATTTCCGAAGGTAAAAGTCGGCAAATTGTATGGCCTCTAAGGAGATATTAATCTCGATCATATAATTGGTTATTTTCTTGAGAGAAACTCACAAGAAGAGGACAGAGGACGTTAGATTCCCGTCAAAATGTCAAAAATAAGTAGTGAGAAAGGCGCCTTAAAAATGACCATGTCAATGTCGATAAATGCAGTGAAACCAAAACACTGATGGGCAATTCTTAAAGAACAATACGGTCTGGATCCTTTCTCCATCATCTCGCCTTCCTAATCAAAAACAGCAGATCCACTTACGTGATGGCTACTGCAGTCAGGTGATTCTTGTTTCGTAGAAAATCACTGCACGAATGTAATTTGCTGGATCTGCAGGAGACTCTTATTCAACGCGATGACCATCTTCGATGAAGTCGGGCTGCTCCTAAGACCTACTGACCTGCACTACTTCCATTTACACTGATATTTTGCCATTGTTGCGGCATCGCGGAAGCTGAGCTATTTTGGAATTGCATTTTGATGGGGAAAACTCGACTATGTGCACTTTTACGGAAAAACAAACATATCGACGGTGAAACTTAAAAACTGCGTATCTCTGTTGGGAGGTTTCAAAATCCCCGCTCCTGTTTGATTTTTTTAAAAAAAAACAAACAAACAAACAAATAAACATCATTCCTTCAAGTTTGTTTTCAAAATTTGTCGCGCAAAGAAGACAAAAATCAAGTAGGTTTTTGAGAAATGACATTAAATAAAGACAAGTCTGTTAAAACAACAACGCCTCTAAAAATTCTATCCCTGCGGTTCCTCTATGCTCCACTTTGAAGTCTATTTTGGACTTAAGAACAAATCAACGTAATTTTTGTGAAAATATGAAACTAATGAGACGAGAAAAACCGTCAATTGCTGTATAAGAATAATGTGTATCTCCATAAATGCAGCGTGTAAAATCTCCAATTGTATTTTCCTTGAGTAGAACAAATCAAAATGCTTTCTCACAATTGTGTGTACATTTTTCGAAGTAAGTGAGGGAAAATTCACACAAAAATTCAATAAAACTGTTGTCAATTTCCTTTTTAAAAGTAGAACATAAGCGGAGTGTACAAAGTTGCAATCCGAGATAATTCTTTTTTGACATCAGCCATCGATTGATTGGTCCGTTGGTGCTATAATTTGCACCGCATCCAGAAATCCATCAAATAGTCTTTGAATTGAACTGCCGTGCTAAGGAATAACGCCATATAAACTTTCAGGCGTTGCCATATTTCCTAAAAGAAAAACCAAATTTACTGAGAAAATTGTGAATATTTTTTCTCAAACTTTTCAGTCAATTTTGTTCAAAAAATAATCTAAAATATCTGAAAATTTCAAGGGAAAAAAATGCACAACTTTCCTAAAAAATACATGTTTTATTCGCGGAAATGTTGCAACTCTCGAATTTTTATACGGCGTTTTTCCTTAGGCCCTGGATAGACGATCAAATTCCGAACCAATTCCGATCAAAGCAGACATGCTGATGACTGATGGTCACCATCTACCATCAAATTTTGACGGGCCGCACTATTTTGTTCAAAGTAGGATCAGAATGCACTGGAAAAAAAAGTAGCTTGGATCAAGCATGATGATTCTTGAATTTGCCGCCAAGAATTTTTTTTATCTTGCTTTAAGCTGACTTTTTCTTGATATAAGACAAATAAGGCTTGGGTTAAGCAAAAAAGTAGCTTATATTCAGCAGAAAAATTCTTGATTTAAGAAGAAATCCTTCTTGGCGGCAAATTGAAGATTCTTTTTTTTCTAGTGTGGAGTGCCGCCATTCTTCATTTCCTGTCACAGGAAACATTTCTGCCAAGTTTTCATTTTAAAATTAAGCAAATTAATGAGTTTAAGACTGATGACTCCCGACACTTTGATGCTACTTTGATCGGAATTGGTTCGGGAATTAGATCGTCTATCCAGGGCTTTAGCACGGCAGTGAACACCTCTCACTATTTCCAGGAACAACGTGGCAAGTTGAAAACGGAGTGAAGTACCGGGCTCCAATTAGCCAACGGTCAACCGGTGAATCGATGATTGTTCCATACAAGCGCCGCAGACAAAAGCGAAGACGATCTAAANGAATCGTGGCTCCCTCCTCATGGAGACTACTCGCCAAGGTAGAATCACCGTTATTTTCTTTTCACAGACCTTACGAAACTTTGAGCTGGGACGTCATGTCTGGCTCTCGCGGAAGTTTCGATTCTAAAAGTCATATTCGCACTGCGCTGACGAGGAAGAAAGGGAATTGTGCGAAGTAACCATACGTGCGTTGACTCCGCGCCAAATAAGTTTATGTACCTTGTTTAATCAAATCAACTGTCTTCAATTTAGCATTGGAAGTAAATGCAAGAATCGAGATGGTGGATCAATTGGATCATCTATAACTACATACTCTTCTCTTCCGAAAGAGTACTTTTCTCTCCCGAGAGTATACTTTCCCCTCGGGGAGAATACTTTTCTATCGCCAGAGAATACTTTTCTCTTCTGAGAAAATAGTTTTCTCACCCGAGGGAATAGTTTTCTGCCCCGAGAGGATAATTTTCTCTCCAGAGAGGATAGTTTTGGCTCCCAAGAGAATATTGCATAAAAAAATGGTCCTTGCTTTGAAAGGTACATCCAAGCCCTACATTTTTAGATGTTTACAATTTTTTACTGCTTTATCCAGCTGAGGGAGGCTGAGTTTTCAGCCGAAACATTTCGGTGATATTTACGTGAAAATAGCCTTCTTACCCGCTTTGTAATTTGTTTAATTATTGTTTATCTTATGCTGGGCTGCGGAACATCAATCATTTCTCATGTTTTAGTTTATGTTGAAACGTTTTTCCAGAATACCCCATAAAATGACCATAAAATACAAGTCTCTATTGGGAACAATAGTGATTAAAGAGATAAATGGTTTTCAACGTGTTTTGTATGGTTGTTTTCAATTCGCCTTCAGTTGCGTCCACAGCAATTGTTGTTACGAATAAGTTGTGCGTGCTGATTATGGTGCATTACATACTTGACTTTTTGAAGGCGTTTAATGTACGAAAGTAGAGCACCCTGTTGGAGGACAACAGAGGTGAGATTGAACGAATCGATTAATGCCTACTTTGTTTGTTCTCCTACAGATTGCGCTTCTTGCGCACATAAAACGCCTTCAGAGAGTTGAGTATGTAATGCACCATAATCAGCACGCACAACATATTCGTAACAACAATTGCTGCAGACACAGCAGAAGGCGAATCATTCGGTTAAAAAAGAGTATGATAGGATGTCTGCATTTAACGAGAGGGCATGAATTCGATCGACATGAATCGAACGAAGAATAAAAACTTGAACCGATCACTACCAATTCAATGGACAAATAAATAAAAAACCTGGTCAAAATCCGTAGAAAACCTGCATTTACTATGAAAATTTCAAGTCGCGGTACCTCGAAATTAGGATCAGCCAAGATTTTTATTTTTTGCGATATTAAGTAACATAGGCTCACCCCGTGCGAACCGTTTGAGGGTACATTTTTGTCGTTTTTTTTTTTTTTTTACTTCAAGACCACTGTGTTAATGCCCTTTTTTACTGAGTAAAGACGAAACGAATCCATTTCTAATTGGTTCCCTTATCTTTTTTATTCTTGTGTGATTTTTTCTGACTCCTATTCCTTTAATGAAAGTCTAGGAATCTACAGCCACCGTATAGTGACCGTAGACAGCCTACCATAGACTCACCCCCTGCAAACCATTTGAGTGTACATTTTTGTCGCATTTTTTTCTTCTTTTTTTTGGCTTCAAGACCACTGTGTTAATGTCCCTTTAAACTGAGTAAAGACAAAACGAACCCATTCCTGATTAGTTTCCTTATCTTTTTTATTTTTTTTTTATTTTTTTTTTATTTTATTTTTTTTTTTTTTGGGGGGGGGGGCTTATTCTATTTCTTTATTGATAGTCTAGGAACCTACAGGCATTTATAGACAGCCCACCATAGACTCGCCCCCTGCAAACCGTTTGAGGGTACATTTTTGTCGCAGTTTTGTTCTTGCTTCAAGACCACTGTGCCAAGGACTTCGAGGCTCACAACTCCTGATCCAGACGGAATCAAATATCTGGAATGGGGTCCCGAGCGGGTGATAAGATCGGGCGCTGAAAGCGTTACCAAATCCTGGAGGGGGTCGTGCGAGCCCTGCAGTTGCGGCAAGAGCGGAGCGCGGAACTCTTGGATGTGGTCGAAAAATGAAATAAATGACATGAGAACATAGTCGCCGCGAACCGTGAACTCCGGCCTGCAATCTATTAACCTTTGCGTCGCCACGATCCCCACCGTTGTCGGTTCGGACCGCCCAAAGGGCGATGGACTACACTCCCGTGCTAAGAAAAAACGCCGTATGAGCCTTTGGACATTGCCAGATTTCCTGTACTGAGAACCGAACCTAATGGAAAAATTTTGAATATTTCTTGTCGAATTTTTCAGATAATTTTTCTCAACTTTTTAATTACATATCCGAAAATTTCACTGTACAATATGCATAACTTTCCTCAAAAATACCTGTTTTATCCGGAGAAATTTGGCAACTCTTAAATGGACATACGACGTTTTTCCTTAGCAAGGCAGTGCACTGCCGTGATGGCGAAGAGAGCAGTAAGTGTCAACTTTTTGAAATCGAGTTTCTTTCAAAATTCGTCTTATCTCTTTTACTTAGATAAAATCCACTGAAAATAGCTAAAACAGCAAAATTCATCTCAATCATATAAAAACGAGACATATGGGAAATCTATAAGTGCGCAAAAAATGACGGAGTTTCAGGCAAGACGACAGTAAGTGACATTATTCCTTCAGAGAGCCAATGAAAACAGTGCTCTCAAGTAAATTGCCGCCTTTTTCTGCCAATTTCTAACCCGAAAATATGTTCGTTGTACGTCCAAAATTCAACCACGATTGCATGCAGGAAATATCACTTACGGCTGTCTTAACTAACACTAGCCTAACATGGAAATTAATCAAATTCTCTTCATTCAAGCCCGTGTCCCATGATCAAATGAGCCCATCGAATTCTCATCAAATGCAAGATGAAGGGTTCATCAGTATTTGACGGCCCGCTAACTTTTGATGGCGGACTTGCGCGAAAACCAGTCGCCATCTTGAATTTGATGAGTATTTGATGGGTTCATTTGATCGTGGGACACGGGCTATAATTGAAAAAAATTGGTTTATTTTAAATCATCTGAACGATTTCTATGAGTCTTTCGTATATTTGGTAGAGTCCCTTTATACTGAGAGTCAAGACAATTCGGCTCATGGATGTCACACAAATAAAGATTACAGAAATTGAACGTTTTTCGTAATCTTTGATCGGCCCATTCTCAAATGCCTTTCTCCGTTCCTCCTCTCATTCCGTTTGTTCCTTGCCGAACCCGTAATTCCCTGGTCCATTCCAGATTATAATCGTTGCAATTGGTGAAAATGTAATCTTTATTCCCGTTTGTGACACTGTGGAGGCCTGAAATTCGGGAACCAATCAGAAATGGATTCAAATTGTCTTGACTCTCAGTATAAAGAGACTCTATTATTTGGTAGCAATTTGACAAAGAATGCAGGCCTCTTTCAATACAATTTTCCACTCTGAAGCTACTGAGCCCATTTTCTCAAAACTTCATTCTTGCTTTTACGGCCCTCCTCGCTATCAAAGAGGAAATACACCTCCATCAGTTCCGGCAACATTGCAGTCACTTCCAAGCGAATCCGATTGGAGCATGAAGAGAGAGATCAGCTAAACCCCAAAGTGAAAACCACCTAAGTCCAGAGAAAACCTTACGCGGACTCGGTGTTTTGGCAGAAAGGGAGTCGATCTCATCTCGCAAATGGGATCTCCAAGTCACGAATCGACGCCTCCCCCTCCCTTGCGTGGACCCGAGATTGCCGCAGAAAAATACTGAGGAAAAACGACGTATAGGCATTTGGATGTTGCCAAATTTTGTCTTGTAAAATCATACTTTTCGAAGAAAATCGTGAATATTTCCCCTTGAAATTTTTAAAGAGATGAGGTTGAGTTATGACTTTTATTCTGTGGAAAATCCAAAGAAAGGTGCTGGAAAATTACTCAGAGAATCGGGTTTTTAGCGGCAAAATTTGACAACGTCTGAATGTTCATACGGTTTTTATCCTCGGTACGATAAAATATAACCTAACTCCGTTTTCACATTATCCCTGAGAAGCATGGAGTCTTATGAACAACATGACTCTCCTTAAAGTTAAGTTACGATCCTTGGACATCAAAGCCACGAGAATAAGCACCGAATTATATTGCCTTGTTGGGCAAACATTCCGGCATGTAGGGTTACTGCGGACTGATTTAGGCATGTATGGCGTCATGTATAATCCTGGGTTCATGGGTAGGTATTGATGAATGGTTATTCAGACCAATAGAGGAGATAAGCGTAGATTATTAGAGAGTTCCTTGTTTAAGAATGAATAAAAATCATGGTGTAAACAATTGTAAGATACGTTACAATGACTAGAATCGAATTTTGCAACGTTGCAAATCACCGCTCGCGTTTTATATTTTCAAACGAAAAAAGTAGCCGGCAGTTTCTCTTGAAATTGAGTGTGAATTTTCTCACTCATTCAAAAAAATTTGTAGGTTATTTCGAAGTGATTTGTTTTAAGAAAATAAAACGCAATCGGAAGGAGAATTTTAAACGATGTAATTTATTACAGCGTTTAAACTTTTTCGATTATAAGTATCAATTTTTTTACAAAACGGATGTATATATTTCATGAGCCATTATACATATAACGACGTTTGGCTGCCATCACTAAAAAAAAAAAAAAGTTCACTGTATTTTTCTGAGGACAGGCAAAAATCAGTAAATTTTTTATTGACTATTGCAGACTTAAAGACTATTCTTTTGTCTTTTCAAAAAAAAATTGTATTGTTTCGAATTAACAACCGTGGATACGGATCCATTTCTCCATGTGGAAAACGACGATTTCATGTGAAATTTTTACAAAATGGTCTCACATCTCCGCTGAGGATTCATGAATATTTCTGGAGATTTAAACGCCAGGATAAGAAAAGTGTTCGCTCACCGTAGCGCGGGCATCCCCTTCATTGCAACCTCAACTCCCGCTTTTTATCAATGGTGATGCATGAATGATCGATTATCGATATTTCATCATTTGAAGCTATGGTAAAAGATCGATTATTATAATGTGGCCGTTGCGAACACCCTAATTATCGATCCTTTTACATGGGTTTAAATGGGAGATCTATCGATGTACCCAAAAGCACGCCACGCCACTGCTTTTTATGAGCTTAGAAGTTTCTTTCAGAGGAGACCAGCGGCATCATTGTGTTTCTCCCAAAATATATATGTAAGAATAAGAAAAAAAGAATAAGAAGAAAAAAAGCGTGGTTAGTTGGTACATACGTTTATTTGGTGCTTTTAACATCTGAGCTATTAACACCTTAGAGGAGAGATCAAAATAGTGTAGTGCAGAATTTAAAAAATGTCTAAAGTAGGGTCACAAAAGGGTAGTACACAAAATTAACCCTAGTCTGCCAAACATGGGTCAAATTGACCCGGCAGGCTCTAAAAACATGCATAACTTTCTTAATTTTCGGCCCACGGACCTGTGCTTCAGATATAGGTCCACAAAAACCCTCATTTATGCAAAACTATCATGATTTTGTGAAAAAAAAAATTTTCCGACCCGTGGTGAATTTTTATTCAAGACTACCCCTCAAACGGCAATTGAGGGGTCTATTTGACCCATATGCAATTCTATAGGGAATTTTTGTTTTTCAGTGCATTTGATGTTGGCATCACTGTGTGTTTTGATTCGCACGTTATAGGTTATGTAACCATCAACAAATATTGCATCAGAAAAGTTATCTCTGATAATTATAGTCTGATTTTTGTGTAATGGTCAGCTAAAATCAGGTAAGATTTGATTACTTTTACTTTCTATGATTGTGGATTGCTGGTATGTAATTATACCCAGGTTTTCAGGTTTTTATTCTACTTTCCTGCAAGGTTCTAGAGATATCATGTGTTAGATCTCACATTCATGTGTTTTTGGAACATTCCCAAACTTGCAGCATGATATTTGTGTATAAACTGAATGATGGAAGTACAAACCGAAGTTGACTTCCGAATTACACAACCTCGAAAGGTTGTGAAATTCGAAAGTCATTTGATCTGGTAATTTGGCAAGAAACCGAAAAAAACACGAGTGAACGTTTGGTGGCAGTCTGACTAATTTATATTCACACATCACTTATTCGAGGCAATTTCTAGTTGTATTTGAAGATTTTTGAACTATTGTGACAAAGTTTTTGTACTAATATTAGTAAATTTGTCTATTTTCATGATTATTTGTAGCCTTGAAGCCTTCAAAGTAATATATTATAACTGTTTCTTTCCAAAAATGTGTATGAGTGAGTATTCCAGTCGGTCCTACCCAAAATGCGAAGAAAATCCCCAAAAAACCTAAAAATTATCCTTGATTATCGGGCTGTACAAATAATGCTAGATCAAAAACAGTGTAAATTGCATAACCTGAACAGTGCAGGATGTTTTAGGAAAATGAAAATTCAAAATGTAGGCCCTAACTATCATTAGAATATATAGTTACCAAAAAAAGTGTAAAAAAAATAAGTAAAATACAGCAAACACATGTATTTCAAATACGGGTCAAAATGACCCGTAATTGGCAGACTTGTAACAAAAATCCGTTTGGCAGACTAGGGTTAAAAGATAGGGCAAGGAATGAATACATTAAATTTGGAGATTGATTCGTTTGAAAAAGAGAGGGATTCCATGAAAAATCTTTGAAAGAATGCTATTGAGATCAGAAAATGGGAGGGAAAATTTTGGATCTTTTGAATTTCTGACGCGTGCATATGATCAATGGAAGCTCAATAAGCTACCCGAGAATATTAAAGGCTCTACAAGGTCTTTTTTAATATTTTTTTGCTTAGTTTGATTTGTTACATCTTCCTTAACATTTTAACTCAGTCAAATTTTCTTAGTATTAACAAAAAAAATGCAACAAAATTTATAATTAAAACATCTGAAAAAAAGAGGAAAAAGAGAAATCATCGTACCAGGACAGTACCTTCATACTCAAAGGTCAATGACTTTCTGATCTATAATTATAGACAATGTATGCAAGTCAGCATGTCGTTGCAGGTGAAATGCCTTCAATTTAGAGAGTATGCAATACGCTAATGTGCAGTCCCCATGTGCCCGCCAGCACCCGGGCTTCTAGGCGCTCTTACTTACATTATTTAAAGGTAGGTAATTCTTGAAATATACGGTTTTAATTTTTATTTTTCATTAAAGAATTCAACAAACTCAAAAATAAGAAAAACAATTTTTTCATCAATAACAACGATGATTTCAACATCATGATACATGCTCGGAATAATATATTCTATTTTACTCTCACAGGCTAACGCTTAATTTAATTTGACTTTATATTTGAAATTTAAACAGAACTTTTACTTTATCCTTCTTTAACTGGGCTCCATTCGCTGGACAGTTTTTTTTAATTTTTTTTTTTTTAACATATACATTTTTCACCTTTCCTTCTTACCTTAACTTAATATTGTATCAATCTTAAGTTTCGTCTATTTTCTTAAAATATAAAATTAACTTCACGACTTTGTTCAAGGTGAGGATCGGATAGGTTTAGTAAAATCATTTTGACGAATGGGCCAAGCTTTAAAGGAAGGGACGAAGCCACATCAAATTTTGGACCAATAAAATGAGATTTGGAATTTTACGCCCTCTTTAAACTCAATGATAGAGATTAAGTTTGACGCCTACTTTCATGATCGAAATATTTTTTCTCAGCCCCGAATTTTTAATTGTAGGATAAGTGCGACATAAAAAGAACTTAATTTACGCCATTTTTATCGTTACCATATTTTTACGACATAGGAGAACCGACGGAGCTTCGACAAAAATCTATGATCATGGCAATGGACTATTAGACAAGGTACGAATTTCAGCATTCTGATACATGCTTCTTAACCAAAATTTCACGTAGAACACGATGCGCACAACGAAACCGAGAATCAACTCCTTACGAAGGTATTCAATAATTCTTGATGCATGAATTCAAACCACCCGCTCATGAAAACTCAATGCTCTACGTGATACACATCGCGCTAAACGTTTATCGTGACAGTCTCTGCGTTATAAAAATCTGGCAACCTCAATCTTGGCGCTTTGGCTCAGCTATAGCAAATTGCTTATAGTTGGAACAACACATGGTGGTAAATGAACATTGCTCGATTGAGAAGCTTGCTGAAACCGTTGTAGTGCGCGATTTGACTCACGTAGAGCTTTGAGTTTCTTGTGAGCGGGCAGTTCAAATTCCTCTTAACCAATGTGAAATAAAAATGTTAATATCTCCGTTAGGAGTTGGTTTCAGTAATTTTCGTTGCGCGAATCGTGTTTTACGTGAAATTCTGGTTAAAATTATGTATCAGATTGTTTAAATTCTTACCTTGTCTAGTGGTCCATTGTAGGATAAGTGCGACGTAAAAAAAACTTAATTTATGCCATCGTATAGATTTTGCAATCTTGTAGGTTTTCCGCTAATAATCCTCGGCCGCTTCGAGGAGCCAGTCCGCTTCTGATCTTAATAACTGGGATTCAGAAATTCAGACGATGTTCAATTTTTTTTCTTGATGACAATAGTACAGAAAACAGAACGAACGAAAATATCAGGTCGAAATTTTCTTTGATTTTGTTTAAAATCAAATAGGCGCTTCTGATTCTTTGCGCCTGTTTTTACGATTGATTAAAGGGAAAATATGTTAAACCAACAAAAAAATAACTCTAGCTCATACTAACTCCCCCCCCCCCAAAAAAAAGGAAATTTAGTTCCTTTTCATTTAATTTAGTTGAAGTAATACATTATTTCAATACAAATTAGAGAATCTGCAAGCCTGAATATTTTTGCAAAAGATCGATCCAAAATAACAGTGCATCTCTTCTGTATTTGTTATCCAGCCGGTAATTTTTATCCAGTACTAAGACAGTGCAATTTTCTAGTGATCCAACTTGATCCCATTGTATGTTGTCATTTCCAGTCGTTGGATTTCTGTGGATTGTAAAAAGAGAAAGAAACTCATTAATTTACTGACTTGTCTGAATATTTTGGAATTAGCTAAGCGTCGGAAGGAAGGACCGTGAATGTTATACCGGTATCTTATATTGAATATCAACGGATTATCTGATACATTAAATGGACGTATTTCTGCCAAACGGAACTATGAACATCAAGACATGGGCCCTGAGACCCATAAGAATATATACATAACAGGGCTCTAGTTATAATGCACATAGTTCCGTTTGACAGAAATACATCCAAATGAGAGTAAACTTAACTGAATTTCAGCTTCGTGGACTGTTTTGACAAAAAAAAAATAAAAATGAAATACAAGAAAGGTCAAGTTTTATAAACACTGACCAAATGCAATATTTCCTTGAAGTATGCATTTTAATTTGCTGTATCCAAGGGTTGTTCGGATACATCTCTAAGTATTTGAATACTTTCCATCAGTGGTGATTTTTACCGAGTGGCAACTCTGAATGTCGTACTTTTTCATGTATGAAAACAATCGAAATAATCGTAGGAGGGAGTCTCGCCAACAGTAATGGAGTCATTGGCATGGCGTGCTTTGCGATACATCGATTGATCTACCTTTAAAACCATTGGGAAAAAATCGATAGACACAATTTTTGCAACGGACACCTCAATAATCGATTCTTTACCATAGCCTCACATGGGTAAAAATCGATAATCGATCATTCACGCCTCGCCACTGAATGAAGTTTGCAATGGTATAATCCATGGATTATTATAGCGTTACCAAAAACTACCGCTAAGCACTATGCTTATTTGGACTACATTTTGTAATATGAGACAAATATTTAATCTGCTTCATTTTAGAAACAACATTCGTAGCATTACTTCTCTGAGACACATAGGTGTTTTTTTAGTTGAGCTAGGTAGTGGCTCCCACATCGCAGTAAGATCCGTTTGACCCATCAGCTATACTGCCGTGCTAAGGAAAACCCCCGTATGAACCTTCAGGCGTTGCCAAAGTTCCAATGGTAAATCACGAATTTTCGGGGAAATTTGGTAATATTTTGCTTTCAATTTTTCAGATAATTTAGTTCGCAATTATACCTAAAGTTCTTGATAAATTCTTGGAAAAATATTCATAACATTCCTCAAAAATGAACATTTCATCAAAGGAAATGCAACTCTCGAATGTTCATACGGCGTTTTTCCTTAGCACGACAGTATAGATGTATCTCGTGATAAGCAAAAAGGCAAAAGACAAATAAACAACTCAGGCTTACCCAGTGGCGGCAAAAGTTACCCATAAATCCACACGATTCCTGATGAATTCTATTTCTGCGTCCGAGTATGTCCTGTTTGGGAAGTACTCGGGCATCGGAAATAATGTCAAAAGATTATCAAGATGCCCCGGTTTATCTAAAAAAAATATAAGCGAGGTATGAAATCTTATAGTCTCACTTGGATATCAGATTGCGACGATGAAACTTCCAAACAACGCATCTCGGTTTGAGACGTTCCAGACTTCCTGTCACACTTTATTTTTTAAAGGGAAAACAACTCAACCTCAATTCTTTGAAACCTCCTTAATTTTTCCTCTCTGTGAGAAGAAAATTCCTTGAAAACTTCAAGGAATAAAGTTGATTTGTCCTCCTTGAAAAAAATCAACAGGGAACGGAGGTTTGCAAACACGGCAAACGAGATGCGTGGTTTGGGAATTTCGCCGTCGGTTTGTAGTTTATCAAAGACGGAACGGAAAGATAGACAAGGTGATAGCGAGTAGAAATATACAAGGCGGGAAAGCTATCGTCGCGTTAAATGATGTGCTACTGGACCAAAAGTTCTTAAAATGAATTAGAGGAATGATTCCCGGCCAAATATTTGCTATGATTATTAAGAGAAGACCTTCCACTGACATCTGGCTACGTCTGGCCTTACAGGGATTCATGATTTCCATTGAAAATTATACGTCAACAATGGAACTACATTTTACAATAAGGAGCAACTATTTCTGGCTCATACACAAAAGCACATAGTTGCATGGGGAAACCAAATAACACAAAAGTTCTTTGTAAAATGAGCTAGAAATGGTGGTTCCTTTTTGTAAAATGCAGTCAAATTATAAATCAGCAAATCTTTTTTGGTGGTTGTTGACTACCTCTCAGTTGGCTGATGAGCCTCGGTTGATACAATGCGCGAAACAAGTTTACCAAACTTCGGTGTCGTTGATAAACGAATTGGACTTCGTTTTGAAATTCGGAACTACAATTTCCAGCTCAATTCAGAAACAACATATGTGACATAAGTTTCCCTATGCAGATAAGTGTTTTTATGTATCAGTCATAAATAGTTCCTAATTACAAAATGAAGTCCAATCGTTCGATATACGCTAGCCCCTCGCGAGAGGCATAGAAAGAAAGTATTTACTATCGGGGTGCCGATCAGTGGCGTGGCGTGAATAATCGATTATCGATATCTCGCCATTTGAAGCTATGGTAAAGAATCGATTACTAAGGTGTTCGCTGCGAACACCCTGATAATCGATCTTTCTCCATAGGTTTAAATGGCATAGCAATCGATATATCGAAATTCCCGCCACGCCACTGGTGCCAATCGATCGGTAGCAAACCGCGAGTACGCCAAAATTACTCCCATTTCTTTCATTTATTTATTTTCTCAGACACGGAAAAAAATAGGTTGTCTCTAACAGCTAATGCGGTATGGTTGAAAAGTAAAACGCCGTGAGAACCAACAAAAATAGTTGGATTCACCAGCCACGTTGACCGATGTGACCAAGCACGAATCCAATTTACCTATACGCCTAAATTAAATCCGACTGTTGCATCTTTTAGTGGTGCAACCAGCAATGTATGTTATCATACCCTCACAAGTAGGCCAAGCCAGCAAGAATCTTACGGCGGATGTCACTGTAGCTGAGATGGACGGATTAACCATCTTGACAAAGCTGAACTGGCCATCACAAAGGCGACCCAACCATCAGGTACTGTCAGCGCGGTGAGAGTTCCCGCCTGGCTAAGCTGCGGTCCGCCATTTTTCCTTTGTCACTCAGTTACGAGTTCATCACGTTGTTGTTCGGAGTCTGTGCGCTTGGCTTTATTTATCTATATTAATCCATGTGAATTTACGCGTAATTTGCCCAAATTCGTGTTCGAATCGTTTCTACAGCTACCGTCTTCTCTTTAAATCTATCTGTTTTAACTTTCCACGCATATTTTCCGAAAGTTCCTAGTTACCTGTATCGACCACTTTTTGGAGGTTATAAGAGTTGCTGCGATGAATCTGGCTAACAAAATGTGTGAATTCTGAAAACTTGAAGGGCGTTTCGCAAAATTGTTCTGTTATTTAGTGAGTGTCGGTTACTGTATAAAGTCATTGCGAAAGCGGGAAGATACGGAAGTCCCTTGAAAATGATAGACCAGTGATTATTGAATACTTCGTTCGTATATCTATTTGTGTTAAAATTTTAGAGAATCAAAATACTCTGATGCAGAGTAAAATTTTCCTGGGATATTTGTTGAATATAAGCTTTAATCAAAATTTGACAGTTTCTGCAGTCCCACCGTGAACTGTGGCAATTGATACGACTGCGTGTAGTTTATTTTTTTAGGTATATTTTGAACTATCTATCTACTTATTATGAAATCAAACTTTTTGTGAAACTGATTTAGTCTGTAAATGATTCTTTGACGGTAAAAACAAGTTCCGTTTTGGTATCATTTACTTGAAATCGGTGAAGCAATTATCTGCTATTTCTCGTCAAATTTGCTTTAACTGCCAGTAATTGTATGTGTACCGGAATTTTTAATCAAAAAGTAAGTAAAATATCTACTACTTTCATATCAAATTTGTTTCTGATAATTTGAGTTAATATTTAAAAATATATGTTGAGTGGATGTTAGAATCCATAAAGTTCGTCGGAGCATCTGGAATTCGGGAAGCTTGAAATTACCATACTACGCAGTCGGAAACGCCACACTAGCATGGTGTCAGCCGTATCGTGTAATTTACAATACTGGTATATTGGTAACTAACTAAACTGCGCAGCTTCATTGGAAAAAAAGCAAGAAGACAGCATGGTTAATAATAACCAATCACTGGTAAATCCGATCATATTTTTTTTTGTAGCGTGTGTAGTAGAAATAAAAAGTATAATAAAGAAAAAAACAGGGTGTGCGATTTAAAGAAATGAAACAAATGATCACAAATACAAATCTAGATTCGAATTCAGTAATCAAACTCAAGCAGATCGACGTTGACGGTTAAATATAGATTTTTTGTGCTCCTTCATCATCGGTCGTCATAGCTCAATCGTTAGGGTGATAGGTTAGGATTAGGTAGGTCCAGGTTCAATCCCAAATAATGGGTTGAAAAAATTCTATCGTAGTAAAATAAATTGAGTAAATTAACAAATTTCATATTTTTCATTTTTACAATTTAGCGTTCTCAGATATTTATTTTATGGGGCTCCTGGCCCCCTATTTTCCATTAAAAGCCCCGAAAAATTGTAGCAATGACCGCTGTCCATTTTGGCAAAACAAAGCGGGCATGGTAGCCCTCAAAATGGGTCACTTTGACATAATTGCTGAGCGCTGCGGCCGAGCGCTCGGGTTGATCTAACCATCTCCGCAGGGCTGACCCAGCCGCGCGGCATGAAGGCAGCGTCACTACCTGCTGGTTGTCGATCTAGCCAACAATTTGGTTGGCGCGGTTTCCAGCTTTCGAAGATGGTCGAATCGACCATCTTCATGGCTGCACGAGACAACCTTTTTTTTCCGTGGAGATTTCCAGGTTTGTTCCTCTTCTTTGTCTTCTGCTTCCGCTTTATTGCCATCCATTTCTTTCTCATCCTCTCCACTTTTTTCTCTCCCTCTTCTGCTTTCTCTCCCCCTCCTTCTCTTTTTTCTTCTCTTTCTCCCTTACTTCTCCTTATTTTTCCCTCCATTCTTTGATCCAAGGAAGAGATGGCAAACAATGTGCTGTTTGCGTGGACACCATTTTATCACTGTTGCCAAAAAATACAGAAAAATCGGCACTTTTTCCCATTTAAATCCCTGTAACATATCCACATTTCATCGCAAAAGCTGGCAATCTTGAAATTTAATTTTTTGGCAGTCATATTGACACAAAGTTTCTATCGTTGCAATAGATACTAGTAAAGAGTCTCTCTTGGTCTCTGGACTGACCTAGAGTGCTACTGATACTCGGATCGAATAGGAGATCGTTGAAAGATACTTCCGTTTCGTAGTCGTAAACGTAATACCAAGTCGGAGCTCCGATTTTTGCGTGCCTCAAGGCTGGAATTGCAGTCGTTATGAAGAAATCATAGTCTGTAAACATCTGCAATTGATAAAATCATAATTAACTAATATTGACGCTCATAACGCACGCAATGCTGCAAGGGTTTATCCGAGTTAAGTGGTTAAATGGTTAAGCTTAACCTTTTAACTACTAGAGAATTTGCAGGTGACTGAAATTTCGTTAATTGCATATTTAAAATGAAACTACTCAGATAACTGAGCACGAGCATGTCCCTGGTTTCTAAACTGAATAATTATTGGAGAAAATATGACAAAAAGCGTTAATTTAAATTGGAAATGCCGCCAAATGACATCACAAGGCCACTCATTCTCTCACTTTTAAATGTTTTTTTCTACAATTTTCCATTTCAGAAAAAAATCATGAAAATGTTGCAAAGCCAGCTCATTAAGCACTCAGATAAAGCAATAACATTTTCCTGTGCAAACTCTCCATTGTGCGGTAAATCTAGGGATCCATGTAACTATTACTTAAGCTACATAAAGAGGAAGAGGGTTTGTTTGCTCTAGATATTTAATACAAAAATTACATTTAAAAGTAATAAAATACTCGCAGTTATTTTCATTAACATCAAACGCAATTGCACTTTCAGAGTCTGGACTCTAGATCCAAACAACTTATTTTCCAGTGCAAGGTCTCTAAAATGTAATGTCTCTCCTGAAAAACTTCCGGAAAACTTTCGAAAATCTTACTTGCTTGAGGTTTGATTGGTAGTCCCTTGAGAGTGGTTGATCTTGGAAATAGCGACTGTAAACCCGGTCCATGACGGTTGGAATGGCGTACATCGGGAAAAGATGCCCAAGATCCATTAGTCTCGCCAAAAAGTACTTGTAATATTTGTAAATGAGCTCCTCGAACCCCGGGATATTGTAGACAGCTAAGTACACATGGAGGTAGTTTTAGAAAGTGCGCTCACGGAAAAAATTAAATTGCTGATTTAACAATTCAATTGCTAAAAAATGTGACTGCAATGTTTCAATGCAGATTTTACAATAAAAAAATGCTACTTTAACCACCTCCGTGCATTGGGGGAAAAAAAACACATTGGATCTAGAGTCCAGACTCTTAAAAACATCGACAAGAAAAAATACTATTGATTCAATCAGATTTAAGCTTAAATCAAGAACCAAGGCTCTTAATTTGAGCAGGTTTCCTTTGATTTAAGCTTAAATCTGATTGAATCAAGAATCCTTTTTCTTGTCAATATTTTCAAGAGTCTGTACTCTAGATTCAATGTGTTTTTTTTCCAGTGTGGTTAAATTAGCTTACAATAGTGATTTAAGTAGCATTTTTGTGTTGTAAAAAGTACGCTGAAACGTTGCAGTCACATTTTTTTAGCAATTGAGTTGTTAAATCAGAAATTTAATTTTTTCCGTGTAGACAAAACTGCTGTGATAAGAAAATATAAGGAGCCGAAGAACATCACTGAAAAAATCTACTTGGCTCAAGCATGATGATTCTTGAATTTGCCGCCAATAATTTTTTTTTCATCTTGATTTAAGCCGAATTTTTCTTGATACGAGAAAAATAATGCGCAGTTTGTACAAAAAAAAGTAGTTTATATTAAGCAGCAAAATTCTTGATTTAAGAAAAAATACCTCTTAGCGGCAAATTTAAGACTCCTTTTTTCAGTGGTTCGGATCTTTCCAAATATCTTTCGATAAAATATTTATTTTTGAGGAATGTTGTGAAACATTTTCCTTAAAATAGATTGAACTGCGGAATCGTGAATTTACCTTTAAAAATGTTTCGTCCGCCAACTTTTGATCTCGATTCTTAGTTAATGTAAACAAATCCCAATAAAGCCGTTTAACCCTCTATGCCATGAGGTAGCTAGACACTTCACCCATTGTTTTTTACCCGAAACCTAATTTGGCCAACAAAAATCGAAGTTATGCTTTGGCTGCATTGCTTACGTAGCTCTTTAAACACCGCTACAAATAAGACAAACGGAGCCAACACAACATGGAGCTAGAGTGAGAGAAATGACTCACTTTGGTGACGGTGCAGAGATACAACTATTCGCGCTTAATGGGTGTCCGTGTTGCATCTGCAAAATTGAAGGCGCGATGGCGCGAGGCGTGAACTCGCAATGTTCCGCTTTATTCTGCCAATGAGGTGTCGCTCAGATTCGGGAGAAAAGTTTTTAAAAAAAAGGCCCGATTAGATCTCTCCTATCTTCGTCTGTTTTGCTCACGTAGCCCTTGAATAACTACTACGAATAAGATAGACGGTACCAACAAAACTTGGAAGTAGAGCAAGGGAAAGGTTGCGCGTTGATGACGGCGCAAGGATACAACTATTCGTGCTTGACAGATGTCGGTGTTGCATCTGCGAAATGGAAGGCTACTAGACAAGGTACGAATTTAAACAATCTGATACATGTCCCTTAACAAGAATTTCACGTAGAACACGATTCACACAACGAAAATTACTGAAACCAACTCCTAACGAAGATATTAACGTTTTTATTTCACATTGGTTACGAGGAATTTGAACTGCCCGCTCACAAGAAACTCAAAGCTCTACGTGAGTCAAACCGCGCACTACAACGGTTTCAGCAAGCTTCTCAACCGAGCAATGTTCATTTCCCGCCATGTGTTTTTCAAACGATAAGCAATTTGCTATAGCTGAGCTAAAGCGTCAAGATTGAGGTTGCCAGATTTTTATATCGCAGAGACTGTCATGATAACGTTTAGCGCGCGATGTGAATCACGTAGAGCATTGAGTTTTCATGAGCGGGTGGTTTGAATTCACGCATCAGGAATCATTAAAACTCTTCGTAAGGAGTTGATTTCGGTAATTTTCGTTGTACATGTCGTATTTTACGTGAAATTTTGGTTATGAAACATGCATCAGAATGCTGAAATTCGTACCTTGTCTAGTGGTCCATTGGAGGCGCTATGACGTGAGGCGTGAGCTCGCGATGCTCCGCTCCAGGATAGAGATCGTGGTCTTGCACTTTGGCCATCAATATAATAACTGGCGTACCTGATAAATAAAAGAGGCCATCATTTGTGCTGCTTCCTGTCATCAGCGGTATAGGTTCTGTCATATCAGCTATCCTCGGATCGAACGGGAACGTCGGGTTGGCCAAGTAATCGTAATCCAACGTTGGAAGAAAATATAGTTGAACGAATGGTGGAAACCTATCCTACAGAGTGACATAAATGCCGTAAGTTTAGAATGATGACGGATTTCCAATTTTTAATTTTGTTTAAGGTGATTAGATGGACACCATATTTTGTGTCAGAACGGCCTGCGATATATCGCATCAATTGGTTCCATTTTTTCAGGTACTCGTCATTTTTCTCCAATTTTGAGATCGCAATTCTGTTATCAGGAGACCAAAGCACTCACTTACCAATTTTAACAAAGAAATTCAACGTAATAAAGGCGTGGTTTCTTCAGCGAGAAAACATCGCATTCGATACTGATATCGAAACTGCACTCGAATGCGATGTTTTCTCGCTGAAAAAACCACGCCTTTATTACGTTGAATTTCTTTGTTAAAATTGGTAAGTGAGTGCTTTGGTCTCCTGATAACAGAATTGCGATCTCAAAATTGGAGAAAAATGACGAGTAGCTGAAAAATTGAACCAATTGATGCGATATATCGCATGCCGTTCTGACACCAAATATGGCGACCATCGAATCACCTTAAGACTCAAAGAACACAGTAAATTATACAGAACATGGTAATAGAGAATTTGCAGGTGTCTGAAATTTGATGAATTTCATGTTTAAGTGGTGACTAGGAAGTGAACTGAACACGAGGCTACCCATGGTTCATGAATTAAACAATTATTGGAGAAGATATCAAGAAGGTATTCTTACTGAAGTTACGTTACTTACTGAAGTCAAATTAACTTGCGCTAGGATAAGCGTTTCAGCGGGTACGTTTCGCATGCAGTTAGTAAGATCTTCTGAGGGGCAAACTGGACATCCAACCAACTCAGCGAGTCGTTGTGTCGCGTTTGCGGCAACTGGCCTCTCTGTGAAGGATAAAGGGGACAATGCGCTCCCAGACATTGCGATAACGTACGCAAATAATCCTGAAAAAATAATGTTCAACCAGGCTCATGTAATGTAGACAACATCATAGTTACACAAAAGTAACGAACGTACCGAATACCTTTAACGCATAATGAAAGGCAATGTGCATCTTCATCTCGATTATTCGAAATTTTCATGTCTGTTTTATATTTATTTATTTTTTATTAAGAGGAACAATCCCGACCGAAATAACTCCTTGAGACTTTTATTGAATATCCCCATTACACGGGTCTACATAGGCATTTTTGTTTTTAAAAACGCTTGTTATCTCAGCAGAGGTTTGTATGGTAGTAAGGTAATGTAGACAACATTATAGCTACACAATCGTAACGAACGTACCTTTACTGAGTGGTGACATTAAGTGCAACGTAGCAGCTGAGCCCCCGGAGGACTCGCCAATGAGAGTGACCCGACTCGGGTCCCCACCGAAAGCAGCAATGTTATCTTGCACCCATTGTAAGGCCAAGACTTGGTCCCTGAATCCGTAATTCCCGATAGTGACATTGTCGCCAGTGTTAAGGAATCCTGAAAAAATGGAGAGTTTGTACTTAAATTTTTTTATTGCTTTATCTAGAAGTGCTTAAAGAACTGATTTCACAGTATTTTTTATAATTTTCTCCTGACATGGTAAATGCTTTAAAAATGTATTTCAAAGTGAAAAATGCACCGCCTAGTGACGTCATCTGACGGCATTTCCCATTTGAACACATGTATTTTAGTAGAATCGGTTATTTTGTCATATCTCTTCTAATAATTGCTCAATTAATGAATGAGGGGTATCTCCGTGTTCAGTTCACTCAGTAGATTCCACTTAAACATGAAATTCATCAAATTTCAGACCCTTGCAAATTCTCCATTACCCTGAAATTTTACTGGAGGCTCTAAAAAGTCATCTAAGGCATGCACGGATAAGAAAGATAAAAGTCGTCGTTTCCCGTACAAAAGAGCGTACAACTCAATTATACCAAATCACTGCTCGCATCTTGCATTTTTACCGGGAGATTCTTGGGCATTTCTAACTTTAAAATACTCTGATTTTTTCTCTGATCTTATACAAAAATCAGAAACGTTTTGGACAAAGATGGCACAAGTACATTAAAATAAAAAATTAAATTGTTTGAGTCAATTTTGCAACAATAGAATTGAGTTACGTTCCATCGTCCAGGGAACGACGAAATATAACGTATTGAAATTGATAGACAAAGCGATAGACAAAAAGGACATAGGTAGTATGGAGCGATCCTGTCGGTTGAAATGTGTGACCGCTTTAGACTAAGGGAGAAAATGATGGACTAACTATCGGGTTTCTCGTGGGTTGCCGTTAGTTGGTCTATTACATACTGCCTTTGTCCATTGTAACCACCCGCTTCCACCAATAGGATCCCTCCATATCCTTTTTGTCTTATTTGTCTATAGCTTTGTCCATCAATTTTAATAATAGCCCGAAAAATTGCAAAAACCTGTGTTTTTTTTTCTTTCTTTTTTTTTAGCATTGTGAAGTTTTCAGTTAAAGCTTTAGTTACAACCTCAGGTCGTAGTGCTTAAAACTGCGAATTTCGAAATCGATATTATAATATAGATATAATATAGATTATAATATAGATTTTCTGATAAAAAAAATCGATTTGAGTCTTTGATCCCAACTTTTTTCGCACCATTAATCCCGCTATATTAAATGGTATGCTCTTTTGATCATAACACTTCAAAGGTGAAACTTTAGAAATGTTTTTGGAGGACATAATTAATGAGAAAAGAGGGAAATCGTGAATCTCACAGTAAAGCAAAGAGCTTTTTGTTAATTCATTTCTTACAGGAGTAAGTCAATTGTTTGAAATTTTCCCTACCATACAAAAATTTCACTCACAATAACTTTAGTTTACTTTTTATTTAATTTATGGTCAAGAGAGCTGGTGATTTTGCCAACTTGAATTAGAATCTAGTATAAAACTGAAATCCTCATTGGTGAGAGAAAAATTTTTTTCGAGTACAATTTTTGCCCATAGAGAAATGCTGTTGTGGTGCAACAATATTTGCGACCAATCAGGAAGGCAATTGTAGGCGCACTTTGGGTCTAATTGGACCCATCATCAGGGCACCGAAGCCTCCAGATCGGTCGCAGCTATAGTGTTTGACCAAACAGCATTTCTTTACATTATGCATACATATCCATGCATGCATTACATATCGACGGTGAAACTACCAAACCACGTATCTCGGTTTGCGACGTCGCAGACTTCCTGTCATACTTTATTTTTTAAATGAAAAACTACTTAAAATCCAGTCTTGAAAATTTCTGTGATTTTTCCTCTTTGTGCGGAGGAAATTCCGTGAAAATTTCAAGGAATGATATTGATTTGGTCTACTTCAAAAAAATAAAATGCGAGCGTAGATTTTTAAACACCGCAAACGAGATACGTGGTTTGGTAGTTTCACCGTCGATATTCTTTCTTTCAATTATGCTCGAATGAGCTATTTCTCTTGGGAATAAGAAGTTCAGTTTTAAATTCAATTTGAACGCACGTTGACAAAAACGCCAACATTTTTGTCAAAACGACTCGTTCGTCAAACGGTTATCAGTTTTGTCATGTTTAAGTGCTTTATGCGTCTGAAAGGGTTCAGTCATCATTGAAACGAATTTGGGAATATGTTTTTATTCGTATTTTTTCTGTAGCAAAATATATGAGGAAAACTCACCGATAGCATCAAGGCGATAATTAGGCACCGCTAAGACAACGTCGCGATTTAACAGGAATTCGGGTCCGTAGATGGCCTCGCGATTGGATCCCTCGACCCAGGAGCCGAAGTGGAAAAGCACAAAAACTGGCAACGAATTATTAGATGGTGGATTCGTCGCCTGAGGACACTATAACACGGTGCACTCATAAGGACTCGATTCGATCACGGATAAAGACGAGTTGTTTTTTTTCTTATATTTTAATGAAAAAAAATTGAACTTTTTAAAAAAAATCGAAAGTCATCGACGACATATCGTCACCTTCCAGGCAAAGTATCACAAGCCATGCGACGTTTAAAAATTTCCGCCGCCATTTTATTTCTTTACAGAGAAATTGCTCAACAGGGCTGTCCGAAAATTTCACTGAATTTTCTTTGTGCTGCCGATAAAATTTAGTGAAATTTCCAAACAGATTCAACCAACAATATCTCAGTAAAGAAATAAAATGGCGGCGGAAATTTTTAAACGTCGCATGGCGCTTGTGATACTTTGCCTGGAAGGTGACGATATCATCACCTTTCGGCCAAGTATCACAAGCGCCGTGCAACTTTTCAAAATTTCCGCCGCCATTTTATGTTTTTACAGAGAAATTGTCGGTCGAGTCTGGTTTCCCTGAATTTTATCGGTAGCACAGAAAAAAGTCAGTGAAATTTTCAAACGGATTTAACCATTCAATCAACAATTTCTCCGTAAAGGAATAAAATGGCGGCGGAAATTTTGAAACGTTGCATGGCGCTTATGATACTCTGGCCAAAAGTTGACGGAACTAATATGTCTTTGAATTAAAAGAAATTACTTCATTTTAATTTAAAAAATGCATTTCTTCAGACCAACACAATTTTTAAACAGATAAACATTCTTAGATGACACCAAAAAACAAAGCTGAAAATCTCTCTTTAAAATAGAAACATTGTCTTTTTTTAAACAATATGTTGACCATCCACCTCAGTAAATCGTGAAAAAGTGCGTTTAAAATCTAAAACCTACAATTTTTATTTTCTTTGGGCTAAAAGAAAATACTTCATTTTAATGAATTGAAACAATTCATTTCCTTAGACCAACAACATTTTTAAACGGATAACATTTTTTAGATGACACCAAAAAATAAAGCTGAATATGTTTCCTTTAAAGTAAAACATTTTTTTCAATTTAAACGAAATAATGGTCATCCGCTTCAGTAGATTGTGAAGAAGTTCGTTTAAAAATCTAAAAACGAAATGAGGTGTTAGTATTTGGTATTCAAAGGTCATAAAACCCACGGACGAACTTACAGCGGGTGTATAAACGTTGATCGTGAGACAGTCCTCCTCACCAATGACAATGATTTCATCGCCGAATTTTATACTTTGTCTTTGAACGCACACAGGACCATCTTTCGTAGCGTCGAAAACACCGTCAAACGACTGTTTTGGTACCGCATCCTGAATATAAGTAACATACGTTTCGGCATTATTCCTTACATACTTTGAAGCAAGTTTCATAGGAAGTAAGCTAGTCACACCAAGATGGCCAATTGTGCAAATTGTAAATTCATGTAAAAAGAAAAAAACCTCAAGATGACCACAAACGGGGTGCCTCAGTTGGACTGCATTTTGCAATTTGGACTTATAAATGTTGGCTCATTTGAAAAAACACTTATGTACATAGGGAAACTAATGGCACTTACGTTGTTTGTAAACCGGGCCGGAATTTATAGTCCCTAATTGCAAAATGTAGTCTAATTTATACTTCGTCTAGAGTACCTTTGTGGACAGAGTGTGGCCATTCGTATCTTTTTACTACAGGAAAACTGAGCTTTTTGATTGGTCGAAGAGTGTTTAGGCTTCAAGATGCTCTTACGGCCGTAAAGAAACAAACAAGATGGCGACTCGCCGTAACATTGATAAGAAGCTAAAAGACAACAATTTCAATTATACGGCGGTAACAATTTAAACTATAGCATATCTGCGAATAACACATGAAAAACACCGTCAAATTACCTTTCGCCTTTATCACAGTAGAATGTAAGATGTGCATGACCTCAAACTTGCTTGCTGATAACAGCCATCTTGTTGGCTTATTTACAGCCGTAGAACATCATGTCAGCCTATTTTCTCGCAACCAATGAAAAACCGGCACAGAAATGGCCATACTCTGTCTATAAAGGTACTCTAACTTCGTCTAATGGCATATTGTGCCGCTGTTAAATGGACCGCGTTAGGCAGAAAAGAACCAAGCCACATTAGCTTTTGCCAAATTTAACTGGGCACTTTAATTTTTTACACGAAAACGGTTGTGCGGATTCTTGTGCAAGTTTTAGAGAATTACCTGCATAGTACGAAGCAAATTCCTTAAAATTTTCAAAAAAATCCGCAAAAACGATTTCCTTTAAAATATTAAATTTTCCAGCTTTTAGGAATACCTGATGTGGCTTGGTCCCTTTCTGCTTAACGCGGTCCAAATATTTCCGGGCAAATGTTGGATGTACCAGATTGTACCTACTGACTCGAATATTTCTCCCAATTTTATTAAGGAGATTCTAAGGGATGCGTGTACGAGATTTGCCACTGCGTTCACGGAAAAAAAGAACTAAGGGTTGTTGGACTACATGGGCATTCTTAATTAATTGTGGTGGTGCCCAGTAAATTAGATTTGACCCTAATGTTACGGTACTATCCCAACTTGAGTTGCGCTGCTACCACAATTAATGGAAAATCCCTATATCATCCAGCAAATTATAGTATGATACAGTGGCGAGGCGAGAATGATCGATTATCGATATTCCTCCGTTTAAAGCTATGGTAAAGAATGTATTATTATGGTGTTCGCTGCGAACACCATGTCTATCGATCCTTTCCCATAGGTTTAACTGGCAAATCAGTCGATATATTGCAAATCGCGCCACGCCACTGGCACGATTTTAGACAACATCCCGAACACTTTTTCCGTGTTGCACTGCCTCACGGTTTGCGTCTTTCAGAGGCAATAATTATCTAAATGTACAAGATAATGCAAGAAACTGATCCATGATGTGTAGCGGCATTATTATTGAGTAAAATTACATCAAAATTGTGAAATGCGTTAAAAATGTAAGTCGAAAACTACCATAATGGACGTAGCTCATCGATTTAATGTGTGAATAAGAGTTATAGTAACTCTGTCTTGTCAGGGGCGACGTCTATTATGGTAGTTTTCGCACTGAAAAAAAATTGCTTAAATTTGCTGCCAAGAGTTTTTGTTATCTGCATTTAAGCTGTATTTTTCTAGTAACAAGAAGAAAATGGCTCGGGTTAAGCAAAAAAGTAGCTTAAATTCAGCAGCAAAATTCTTGATTCAAGAAAAAACATTTATTAGCAGCAAATTTAAACTACTTACTGTTTTCAGTGCGATATCGTTTTTCAATGAGTCCTCAGTTTGATATCACACTATTCAGTATTGATGCCTGCTACATTTGCTTTACATTGTTTTTAACGATCATTATAGACTTTTAAAAACACAAAAAAGTGTCGCACTCTTATAAAAATATTTGTGCTCTTGTGTTAATCTTGGTTAATATAGGAAATGAAACACCCAACCCAAATTTCATGTTGATTTTGGTACAATTTGCTGTGAATTTAGCGCAAAAAACCATGGAGAGACTGGGAAACCCCTAAGCCAACAGAAGACTTGGGTTATACTTTGTGTTCCACCTCCCGTATCGGCCAAACTTTTGTGTTGAGTTTTCTCTCTATATAGCGCAGTGTAGTGGCAAATCTCGTCCTTGGATCAGTTAGAATCACCTTTGGTACCTATTTGTTGTTGGAACCATACTTCGGTAAAAGTTTTCCTAAATCCTCAATTTTCTTTTCGACTGTGCTACCCTGAAACTTTCCGTGGCTTGTTCTGAAGATTGCACTTTACATAAACTTCACATCCGCCATCATCAAGTTTGTTCAAGCCAATTTAAACTTGACAAAAGGGTCTTCAAACCGCAACTTTATTCGCATTGTACTAACCGTAAATCTTTCTGTGACCTCGGCGTAAAATATGCCGCGGAAAGAGCAAACCTTTCGGTTATCGAAATTCGTCTCTATGGTCGAACCTCTGATGCACCCACTCGAAATGCACACTTGCGGTTCGTGATTAGAAAAACACAACTTGAAATGGCCCAATAACACGAACAAAAACTTCAATCTTTGAGACAGAAAAGCCATGGTGCTGCTTCGAACTTCTGTCGTTTAAAAATTAAAACCTCTCGGGACTCGAGAGGCACTAAGACTGAGATCTACTTTTCCGCCTCTTCGTATCCTAACTTAGATGCCGGAAAATTCTTCTGAAATAGTTGAAAAATGCATAATAATACTGAGGAGTTTTCCGGATGTCCTATATTTTGCATTGTGTGAGTTTCGGTGTGCTAATTAGTTTTGAGTTTACCCGAGGGAAAATGTTAGATAAAAATTGAGGTCACGGGAGACAATTTTAGGTAGATAGAAGATGAGGATAAACCGGTCTCAAAGATCATAATTGAATTCTAAGTACATCCATTTATCCATATATTTTGTCACTCGTTGAGTCAATTTTCTAACAATGAGCAAGATCAGTGGCGTGGCGTGCATTGCGATATATCGATTGTTATGCCATTTAAACCTATGGTAAAGAATCGATTATTACGGTGTTAGCCGCGAACACCCTATTTATCGCCTCTGATCATGATGACCCATGCATTCATGATTCAAATGCATTCATGTTTTTAGAAAAAAAACATAAAACGAGATTCACGTTTTTTGGTTTCAACTGGACAATATTTTGCAAATAGGAACTACAACTTCTGGCTCAGTTTAGAAACAACGTATGTACCGTTGGTTTTCCTATGAACATTGGTGTTTTCACGCATGAGTCAGAAATTGTAGTGCCTAATTGCAAAATAAAGTCCGACTGTCGTTATCACACCGACCGTAAGCAATATAAACCGATTAAAGTACATCAGAACGTTCCTTGGTTTCAATCTTTGCTTTAATTTCTTCTCAAAGAGCAATTTTGATCGTTACTTTCTGAAATTTAGATCCAAAGTGATCGTAAAATTTTGATGAATTTTGACATGTGCTTATTGATAAAATGTATGCTCTTCTCCCTCTTTATACGAAATCAAGAAAATTCACTGGCAGAAGCGATGAATATAGTATTATTCCTGATAAAATTACATTCAATTTTGACGATTGTATTTTAAACTGTGGGTAGCTTTTTCTGAAAAATATACTGTCCTGTCTACACAGCTTAAACATATTCTTTAGTAATCGTTTAGTCATAGTCATTTAGTCATTCTAGAGTAATATTCTTTATTTGGTTTAACATTTACAAGTAGTTTCTGTTAGTGTGCGCGACAAAATTCCGTCTCCACAATTCTGCGCGACAAATCCAGTGTTAAAAAAAAAAACAAGCAGTGAACTCCAACACAATGTGTTGATAAGGCGCGTCATTAACTCGCACATATCAACCCCTTTAGTTTTCATTTACAGAGATTTCAAAATAGGCAAACAGCATAAAAAGAGAATTCACGATCCAACACTGCGAGGTCAAAGACGCACCTTGACGAGACCGTGTATTGTGAAAGTAGAAAGCTATTCGATCGAATTTAAGTTTTTTGATCTGCCTCAAGCAAAATCTTATCAGATTCTTGAAGAAAAGTGCTACGGAATAATTTAAGCGAAGAAAGGAAAAATTCTGTCGAACTCCTAGAAGATAAAGTCGATTTAAAGGTATTTTGGGGCTAAAATACCCAAATCACCGGTAGTAAAAATCCCGTTATATTATTGAAAAGAAATTGACTCGATATAAATGCAATTGCATTAAATACGTCTTGATTTTGTTATTTTAAACGTCTTTCCATGCAAAGAAGTTCAACCATGTCGTTGCTTTATTCATTCATGAATTGAAAGTAAGCAATCTACATCCCGAAAATCTACTGATTTGCCGTAAAAAATTGCAGAAACTTGATATACCAGGTCGATGCACCCACTCGTTGAATTTACCAACCAATTTTGTGAGTGCA